TTTCCCTACCCTTCTGCAAGGTGGTTTAGCCAATTTCCAAACAAAGAGCAAAGTGACTTTTCTCAGGCTTGTGGAGCATCAAACCATATTCAAACATCCCCAGAACAGTATTCCCACTGTGATCTGCTCTAAAATGGAAGCCACATACAGTAAAAAACAGTAATTAATTTATTTTCTGCTGTTTACTTTCAAATTACTAAGTAAGAATACTAAATTTAGCTCAAGACTGCCCTTACCCTTGACACCCTGTAAGACTTCACTAATCAGTCTGTTCTCCTGGAAAAGTAGGTGAGCTCTAAGTAGGGTGGGACCTACCAGAAAAGCAGTACCAAGTTTTATTATGCAGAGCTCATGAACGTTCAGGCTGCAACAAGTACTCTGCTTCAAAATGCTCATATTTATTTTTTATTTCTTCCTTTATAATGGTGCTTTTGTCATATGATTGTGAAATGGCTGAGCTTTGTATGAATCTCTGAGAGCTCATCATACTTTGTTCATCCATCTCCAGTTGAGAGAGCTTCGCATTTGGAAAGTTCAGGGGAAAAATATACAATGCGAGTCACATAGTCAATAATTAATTCATTTTTTAAATGTAAGAAATAACGCAGTTATCAAAATTGTGTAGAGGAAGGTGCATGCTGCAACCATCATGTCTGTATCGCCACTGGTTTTTATTCACCTTTAAACTCACCTCACCTGCCAGACAACTTTCTGAGAAAGAGCAACTAGCTCATTGTAACACTGAAACAATTTGTAGCACAAAACATTGTTTTCAAAAACCCCTACATAAATGAACCATTGCATTTTCTCTGGTCGGTTGGTATTTTCAGCACAGAAATAGAAGGAGCAGCTTGGAAAGAATGATAGGTGCATGTAGAAGTAAAAAGTTAACTAGCTCACATCTACTTAAAGCAGGAGCATCCAGCCTAGGAGTGCAACAGCAGGGCAGAAAAAGGCTGTGATGTACACAGGTGTATCCAACAGCATACGGTGTCTGCAGTATTTCAGCACACATACTGACTCTTACTAATTTTTTTCACAGAGCTACTTGCAACCTGGAAGTTTCCAGAGGTACAACAGTGAGTGCAGCTAAGACAGGGAGCATCCAAGTGGCCGAGATGTCCCAAGGGAGGCTTGGCTGGGCTCCTCCATATCAAACTGATCCGAGATGTCAGGTATGTCTGTGCCCACGTTCCTTGCTCTCACTTTCCTCACCTGTAACAATGTTATTTTTAGAAAATCCAAGTGGACCAACTCCACAGACACATTTGTATTTTGATGTTCAACATATAAGGCTTCCAAAATTTTCTCCTTCTTGTAGGAACCAATGAGATCCAAGACTTCTCCACCACTCTGGTGGACACAGAAAGAGCTAAAATAAAACATTCTGCTAAAGCCAGGAAAAAGAGTAGGAAATGCAAGAGCATGAAGGTCTCAGCTGAGCTGTACAAGCAGCAAGATAACAAAAATGTGATAGCTTGCCAACACGACCCTGGAGGAGGATGGTCCCAGAAATACATGGGGGCTGGATTCACAGAACAGGAGACAAACACGCCAAGGGTAGGAGCTGGAGGATGGCCAATACAGAAGCTGGCACAGACGCAGCAATGAGTAGAGTAGCACATTAACGGGGGATATTCCCCACTGGGGATCCCAGAGGTGTGTGGACCACTCACCCAGGCACCAGCAGGGGAAGAGTAGGAAGGACATTGGTCCTAGCCTGCAGAGACCACCACTACCATATCTCTAAAAGCAAAGGGGAAAACCTGGCAGAAAGGGCTTCCTGCCCATGCCAACAGCACACCAGCACTCAACACCACAATGGACAACAGCCAGTAGCTCCCCAACACCTCAGGCACTGGCCAGTCCACTGAGAAAGCCTCCTCCTGAGCAAGATGGCATGCCAGCTCCCTGGATGGCTAGCAGGTACACTGCCACACTGCACAGGCTGCTTCCAGCACCGGGGTGCCACCTTCCCACTCCCCAAGTCCACAGAGAGCCCCATCCTATGTGTCAGGTAACATGTGAGCCTGTGTTTCTGCCAAGAGTGGAGCAGGAGGTGGCCAAGCAGAGTTACAGTTAGAGCCTGTTACAGTCTGTATTTAACCCCTGTGAACAAGGAAAATCCCCATCACCAACATGAAGAAAGCATGGCCAGTCCCTCGAGAGCAGGGAAAGCAGGGAGGCCACACTCTGGCATGAAGTGAGAGGAAGGAAAGGGAAAAATGGTTTACTTTACACAAATGCCTATGCGGGAGGTAAAAGCAGATAACAAGAGAGCTGATGTGTGTTGCTTTTTATCTCAGTCTACAGGACAGGAAAGGGACATGCTTGATTTACAGCTCCTTTCATCACTGAACTATCTAAAAAGGCAACAGGCAAGAAACCTAGCTGGCCTCAAGCTGCTGCAGAATCTGTCAGCTCCTGCCATCACACACACAGGGATCAGACAAACAAGTTTTGTCCAGGTAGCACAGACCCTGCCTGAACAGTCACCCTACCCACACTCCAACAAGGCACAGCTGCAGAAGAGGGAGGATAAGTTTCACTCCCAAACATCCCAAGGAAGACAGGATGCAGCCATGGGCTATCATCAAATAGGAGATGAGATCCACTGGGATTCTGCTCTTTCGAAGAAAAACCTGAGCCATTCCTTCTGTTAGGCCAGGCTGTAGATTGTTTGCAAAACCAAACATTAAAGGCCTCGACCTCAGTAAAGAGAAACAGCACTTCTCAAGGCTATACCTACTGTCAGCATGTACACCACAATCCTGGCTGCTATCTTGTCTGCATAATCAAGAAATTATTTACTTTTCTCATAGTACAGGCAAAAGGAACAGGATCTGATGAGTGTACTGTAAAAACTCTTGCCCCACCACCTCCTACCAGCAACTCTGCAGTGTTCAGGGCATATAACAAAAGCAGATAAATTTGCCTGTGTGTTATACGTGTATCACCACAGAGTTCTTTAGGAAAATGATACTAAGCTCAGGCTAATAGGTTACAACTGCATCAAAAGTTACATTTCTGTTCCAAAGGTGAAAGCAGCATCTAGCCATTACTACAAATAGGATTTGGGGAGAAAGCACTATGTTCACAACCACTGTGGACTCTTCAGAAACTTAACCCAGGTTCAAAGCATAACTTTGCATTAAAGTTCCCTTATGGAGTGCCTTCAAATGGCTGAAAAAATGATCATGTCAGGGGCTCAAAGCAAAGCTGGCAAACTGGAGGCAGCCAGATCGTTAGGTGTTTAAGGCATGAGAGTGGCTGCCCTTACAAGAGTGATCAGAGCAGCAGCAAAGAGCAGTACTAGAAAAGAACTGAACAACTCTGAGAAGAAAGAGAAACAGTCTTGCTTTTGGCAACTCAAAATGTTTGTCTACTCATCCTTCCTAATCACATGCAAGTAATCTAGATGAGTTAATTTTCTCCTGCTTAGTGCCAGGAAATGAGTCAAAATGGTTTAACAAAAATAGCAAAAAGGAAAAAAAAAAATCCCACTTTTTATCCAGCTAACCAAAGCTGGAACGTGTTCTTTTGGCCTCCTGAAATAAAGTTGATAGCATTTTTCCCAGAACCATACTCAGGGGACCCACCCTCTAAGTTATTAGGGTTGATAAGCCAAGTTCTAGAGATCCTTTTTGTCCACCTTATATCAGTTGAACAAATGTAACAATAAAAAGCACAGCAGTTACTCCAGTCCCCTAATGATGCCCACCTAAAAGAAGATAACATCTTCTGTCATAACAGTTCAGTGTCCTTGGTTTTGTACTGTCAACAGCGTCAGAGAGAGGGATAAATGAACAGAAAGCCCCATCAGGATATCCTGTCATTCAGTTAGGAAGGGTTTATTCAGCTTCGCAGTGAAAACTTTTGGCAAATACCCTGCATTTTGGAATTCTTCCTGCCTGCAGGCAAGCTCCCCATGCTGTATCCTTCACTCATTTTCCTTCAGGAAGACAGGATTCCTCTTAAACTATTTGCCTAAGAATGAAGAAGAAATAGCACTTAATAAAAACCCATCACTTTCTGTCAGAATTTTAGTTCTCATGTCTAGAGGCCTCTGAAGGAAAAAAACCAAGTTCTTCACAATGGAAAAAAATCTAGTTTTACTCTTCTTGACTTTTTTGGCTGCAGTGAAACTGTGCTTGACATCACAAGTCCCAGATGAGGTAAGAAGCAGCTTTTTATTTAAGTAATGAACTATTATATGTCTGTATTCAACTATAGGGCTGGGGGTTATTTCGCTGTTGTAGACAGAATAGTTATCAGATACTGCATCTTCTAGAACAACCTGCTTTAACAGTTACTGATGCATATGACACTGAATTATAAACTAAAAGCTCTGTAATTCAGCCCTCTGAAATGACAGAAATGTGTCTGTTTATTCCACATGAGAATTTGGCTCAAAGGATATGTCATGAGTACACTGGAAAAGTCTCTTAAAAATGACAAATGTGGCAAAAGACTAGTCAACACACTCATCAAAAGCAACAAAAGAAAACCGTTAGAATTTCTGATAAGTCATAAGAAAACAGAAATTTTTCCATAGTGAAAATTAACAACTCTATGAACCACAAGGAGGAAAAGCTTACTTCCTCGGGTCTGGGGAAATTCTAAGGAATTGAGCTATTGGAAGTAATTGTACAAAGTTACTGATGTAAGTAAAAGGTTTGTAGACTTCAGGGGAAGTGGTGCATCTGTCATTACAAGTCCCGTGGAACTGTGAAATTTCACAAAATCTGGTTTTGCCACCTTCACAGAAAGGCAGAAAGACTTGGGCTACAAATCTGAACCAGGAGTTCAACAGTGAGATATTGACTCATTTCAACTGCCTCCCAACGACAGGGAGAAGGGGGGGGGGGGGAGAAGGAAGCCACTTAGCTGTGTGTGTTTGTTTGCTTGATTGGTTGGGGTTTTTAAATGTAAAAAGACTTTGAAAAGTACAAACAGGTGCTGGGAAATGTGTTAAACTTGTTCTGTCTCCAAAAAGAAAGAGCCACTAACAAATCCCCTTTCATTTTCCCTAACAGCAAAAGGGGAAAATGAGGAAATGGGAGATAGTGGAAATAACCTTACCATTCTAAAAAAAAAAAAAATATTTTATAACTGGTAGAAAGGAAAGGGTATTATGTATTTTTATTTAGATTTTACCTTTTCAAAATATCTTTGAATTTTCTTGTTCCAAAAATGAAATTTTTGCACGGTGTCTTTTCAATAGCAACTTCGGCATTAAGATAATTTCAACAACTCCTACCAACAGCTTTTTCACTTCTGAACCTGAATATCCTACAAGCCCAGCAGTTTATTCACCCTCAGACTCTTAACAGCTTACCCTGAGCAACTGTAAGGAGCAGGGCTTCAGTAGCTTACTTGGTTAAAGACTCAAAAAAATCAGCCAACTCTCTGAGTTTATGATTCTTCAACATTAACAGTACTGATTTCACTTAGTGGAAATGCTCACAGGAGTTAAGGCATCCAGACTGCATGTTTGTACTGTGTTGGTTCTTACTCTGGTGCATGAGTCATCTCTCATTAAGGACAGGCTGTTAAGGTTGTTGAGCACCAGGGTTTTGAAAGGCTTGAAGCATTCAAGCTTCTTCATGTTGGTGCCTCGTGAGGTGGCTTTGGATGGAAAGCAAGGTGCTGAGATGTTCTGGCTTGAGTTTGTGAGAGTCACCCTAGATCTGAAGCCCAAAACACAAGGTCAGTTCAGTGTACCATCAGTGCCAGGCTCTGCTGAGAGGGCAGGGAGGCTGCTCAATTGTCCCAGCCTGGCACTGGTCCCCACTGCTTTGCGAAGTGTCTGATCAAGCTGTATCCACATTACACCTATATCTGGAGAAAGGTCTTTATTTAATGCATCTTCACAATTGTGAGTGATTTCACTACCCAAATACTCAAATGTTACCCAAACCAGATTTCAATACCACATTTATAAAGACTGAAATTTGACAGCTAAGTAGATGTTGCAAAGTACTTATAACTGGGTGATAACTACTAACTGGAGTCCCTTAGAGCTCATGAAACTTAATCTCCTTACAAGGATCTGTGATACAGCCTCACAATCCTCACTACTGATATCTGCTGGTATCACAAATATTGAAGGAAGAATGACTAACAAGGGGTGAAACTCCTGGTGTGAGGGCTTCATCCAGGACTACCAGGCTGTGGCACATGTAGAAAACCTGACCTTTCAGAGGGAGCGTGCAGGCCCCATTTTTGCACACAGACAGGCAAACATCTGATTCCCAACATCTGATGCTACCCATCCATGTGGGTTATCAGCACACTAGGCAAGCTTTGAAGGAAAGCAGGGGGATGGCCCAAGAACTGGGAAACAGGAGTCATAGCAGGGAATTCAAGAAATGCTATTTAAGTGCCCAAAGAAAATGTACTTTGATCTCAGACTGTAAGCATTCACAGGAAAGGAAGAGTAAACTCTGTGACAGAACTGATTCCTACCTGTTGTGGAAAGAGAAATATCTGGAGACTGATGCAAAACCATTACAGAGAAATTATGACAGAAGCAACATATTAATTTGTTTCTCCACAACTGACCAATTCCAAATCAAGTGAATGCTTTCTAGAAGATCTTGTTGTTCAAATGAAATTTCATGCAAGAAGCTCCATTATCCTGTGTTACATTCTTCTGGTGTAATTGTCTTTCCAGGTTTACAATCTGGGAAACTACTTAAAACATCCACAGACAGCTATTAACATACATAAATATTTTCAAATGGGTGATGCTGCTCTACACGCTTACATGCACAGTGGGCAAGTACAACTTTTCAGGATAAACATTAAGCATTTCCTCACATTGGCCTGGTAATGATTCAAATATTATCCTAATTGACTACTGAACTGTTTCACTGAAATCCTATTCAGAGAGTTAATTTCAATGCTATTGTGTCAGATAGGAAGTCTCTCATGGCCAATATTGCTTAGGTGAGTTAAGACCACCTAAATAGGTCCATACATAGAGAACAGTGGAAAAATGGTTATATTGGAACAGAAAATTGAGCACTACACAGTATGTTCTCTACAAGAATGATTTCACTTACTACTTTTTGTTGGGTTTTAGTGACTGTATTGTGCATTAGATTATTTCTCACCATTTTTCCAGCCCCTACCATTCTGTGATTTGTGAATTATAAACTTATTTCTACAAATACTCACCAGGAAGAAAGATGATGAAGTCAGCATTTGATGGAGTCCAGCAAAGACTTTTTGCTTTAAAATCGGTTGGCTGTTTTAGTACTAGGAAACAGACACTATTTTTGGTATCTAAACATTTTTAAATCTATGATTTCTACAGTCACAAAATGCAAAGCCACCACTGTGACAATACTCTAAGCCTTTTCTCCTTTTTGCCACCTTCTCAAATAATTTATCAGATTTGCATTCTTGAAAATGGGACCTCCACAGCAAAGGGCCTGAGCCCTTGGCATTTGAGCTGGAGGACTACAGCCATGTTTCCCAAGCTGGACTTGTTCCTTCCATGGATTTCTCTAATGAAAAAAAACGAGGAGGCTGCTCTTCTCTGGGTACTCTGGTGGGGTCAGCTTCTACCAGAGTTGGATGCAAAGCTACACATGGTTCTTTTATGCCAATTTGAAAATATGAGCCATAGTCCTTTAGTTCAGTACAGTAGTGGTGACAATATGAAACCTGCGTCTGAGAGGAACAGAGGTTTATGCTGTGCTCTGTGTGCAGAGATACAAGCAACTTTATCCACCCCTTATGCTGAGCTTTTCCACTGAATGCACTTGCTGGCACTTGTCTTCCTCCATCATACTGTGGGGTTTGCAAGACAACTTCAGAACTAACATTCCATAGGCTGAAATTCTCTCAGTAACCTGGCTTTTAACTCTGCTGAACTTAGCATTTGTCAGTAAAGATTCCTAGGAGAAATACAACACATAAAAGTCTTTATCCTGCAGTGGATGGACATATTTTGTGCAGACAAGACTACTGCAATGATCTAATATGTGGTCTGTTACCTTGTTTAACTCCAGAGCATGGAGCTCCTGATGAAATGGGTAGGGATTGTGGCTATGAGACAAAGCTGAGTTAAATTTGCCACTTTTCAGCAATGCCACTGAAGGCAGAGCTAAGCCAACTCAGAACTTTTTCCATCTTTTTAATTAATCTTCTCTTATTACAGATGAAGAAGCAATGTGATCAAAAGCTGCTCATTCGAATGAAAACTGAATGTGTACCATGTTCTTTAAACTTCAATACCCGGTGCCCTGCTGGTTACACCAAAATTACCAATGGGACTGGGATACCAGACTGCAGGTATCTCTTCTGCCAGAGCTTTTCCCTGTGAATAATGCTCTTCACAAATTAGAAAATGTTAACTCATATTACAGATGTTCTATTCTATGCAATTTTATTAATGAATATTTACAAATGCCTTCACCAACTCCAGAAGTTAAGCTTCAGAGTACTCCAAGTCTAAAGTTAATCAGTAAAAGTTAAATGGTATGAGGAAAATAAACATTGCTGTCAATGGCCTATCAGATTTTCTTTTGAGTGATATCAAAAAATCTGAAACACTTGTTATAAATAATATTAAATGTTATAAAACCACTTTATTTTGCATACTTGTTATTAATTATACATAAATATCGTATTATTCATATATTATCATATAAATTGCATTTGTGTATCATTCATACCACATATTATCATATAAACCCCAGATTTTTCAAACTGCCAGACTGGGGAGGTGTAGGAGGTGAAAGGCAGGAACAAATACCTCAAAACAAATTTGAAATCTTGCCTTTCAGATTTAAAAAAAAAAAAAAAAATGAAAAAAAAGTATTTTAGGGAAAATGTAACTGGGTTGAGCTTACTTACAGCATTTAATGACCCTTCATATTATATAATTTTTAAAATACTACTTCAAATCAAAACTTAGAAAAAACTGTTGTGTTTAGGTTGCATAAATGAAAAAAAAAAAAAAATGCCGTGCAAAAGGAACAGTTCCAAGGATCTTTATAGACCTTGATGTGCAATATGTGTTTTAACAAAGGAAAAAAAACAGATCAATACAACTAAATTTAAAATACTCGTATGACACTGAAAGGAGAATAGGAGCGTAAGAATTTAATTTTTCCCCATAGGAGGCTTTTTGGTACTTTAAAGCAATTCTTAAAACAAAGCAATTGTTAAAACTTCTTTTCCACAGGTATTATCTAGAAATCAAAACACACACACTTTCTTTTCTGGGATGTCGGCATCATTGTACGAAGGAATTTGAACAACCTGAGTGCTGCAAGGGGCACTGGGGCCCAGACTGCTTGGGTAAGCTCTTTTTTTCTTTTTCTTTTGGTAGGATTTGAGTGGAAGTAAGTCAGTGGGTTTTCTTTTTTTCAGAAACTATTGCCATGAGAAGTATGCTCTTCAGCACTTATTATAGAAGTAGAAATAGAGAGCAGGTTTCAGCCAAAACTTAGATTTGGAGGAAAACATATTCAAAGTTTCATTTGAAAACAAAAATTTATAGAAAAATTTAAAAACCTCAGGGAAATCACTTGGGCTTGAGAGCTTCAAAAGAAATCATTTGACTCCATGCCTTTTCATTTGAGAATATCTCCACAATGGATTTTAAAATCTAAAATTTTCAAGCCACAAATTTAAATGTTTCACTTAAGGTCAAAAATATCCTCATCTAACTCTGCATTTCCAGATCTCATTAATTATTTACTTTCTGATGCAAAAAGGGTCTTTTCTTTCGACTCAACTTGAAACAGTTTTTCCCTCCAAGGTTTTTGAACATCCAGTGAATGCTAAAGGCCATTACTGAAGTAAGGGTAATCAGTAGTGCCTCTCCTCCCATTGCCACTTCCTCAGGAAAAGCATTTCAGCATCTCCACAAGTGCATCAAATCTCAGGGTACTGAAGTGGGCATCAAAGCACAGAGGAAATGTCCCTGCCCCAAAAGAATATTTCCTCCTCTAGTTAGCAGGGTCAAGGTCTGGTTCAATGTCTGTGAAGTCCTTTTGTCCACAAAATAGATAAGAGAGTTATTTCAGCATGGCTCAGGCTATGACTTAAATATTTCTCTACTCAAGCAAAATCGTCAAAATCCAACTTTCAGCTACTTCTATAGCGAAGTAGAGGTGAATAGCTTGGTATGTAATGTGTATTCCTGTCTACTGAAGATAACCACCTACACGATGATTTAACATTTTTCCAGCAAATGCAGCCTAAGTGCCTCTTAGCAGGACGGCAACAGAGATGTGATTGTTATCCCATACTTCAGGGTGCTCTGGGAGGCAGCACAAGGGGCATCAGTATTTCTAGAGAGGGGTAGACCTTGCTGCCCCTGAGTCCTGCCTGTACCATGCAGGAGTCTGCAGAGGCAATGAAAACCCTCTTCCTTTTGACAAACTTTGTGGCCCCAAGAAGCAAAGAATCAAGGTCTCAGCATTGTTTCTGTTGTCATCTGGAGGAAGAAAATAGCTCTTTCTATTATCTCAATCTCTCTAAGAATATATGGCATGCCTTGGAATGCTTGGAGGAAAGCCGGTCCTTCCTGAGGCCAGAGAAAAATCCCTGACTGGGTTTACTTCACATTTAGCATCTGATGATGATGACAAAATGAGGCCTTTAATAGCACTCTGACTTCCTTAAATGATAGCACACAGTGAAACACACAATGTCAAATTATGTGGTTCAAAATACATCTTTACAAGTTTTAGCCACTGCTTCAGCCTGCAGGGAATCAGGCAAAGAGAAGTCATCATGAGCCTGCACTTGAAAACACTTGGAAAGTGCTGAATTAAAGTCTATGACCAAAATAAATAAATAAATAAAATCTGATAGCTTTAAGCTCTTTTAGCCTAAATATAAAGATTTAGCCTTCGTACTCTGACAGCTGTAAGAGCTAAGCAGAAGCACCTGTTTCTCACTTCTTTTCAAAAAACATTCTCAACAAAAGCAAAGTTCTCACTTCTCCCCAGCACTGGGATGGCAGCAGGTGACTGTGCCCATGTCCCAGAACTGCCTCCTGCAGTTCTGCTGACCAGGGGGAAGTGCTGGTTAGGAAGACAAATTACAACAATATGGTAATTTGCTAAACTTCTGAAAAAGCTGTCCTTTGGTGGTGGTATCAAAAGAAGAGACAGGAATAGTGAAGACAAGGGGAACTGTAATGAATGCCAAAAAAAAAAAAAAAAAAAAAAAAAAAAGGGGGGGAAAAAAACAAAACTCTTTTTTCAGCAATTTTAAAGTATCTTTTCCTAGAAATTATACCATAAACTCTGAATTTTCTCTATCTTTACACATTCAGTAAAAGCATCAGTGTAGGTAGAATTGTCTCCTTTCAGAGCAAATATTAAACAGTTTGCATCTCTGTCAGTTGTAAAGGTGAAACTTAGCCATCACAAAGTAGCCAGAAAACAAGATTCACTAAAGTTACTTTAAAGATTAAAGTATATGTGTTTTTTATTTTACCTCATTTCTGGTTATTTCATCTCAATTCTTACTACATCTTTTTATTTCAGCATGAGATAAACTGCACTAAAACTTTCATCTTTAAATCTATTGTTTTTTTTCCTGAGAATCTCACTACAAAAAACCTCACAGACTCATCAATAAAGAATAAATTAAGAAACAGCATCAGACAGGTATAAAGCCAAAGCCTTCAGTAAAATTAGGTGTATACACATACACATCCACTTACTTGCTCATTGCTCTGTCCAAATCAAATTAATTTCCATGAAAATGTCACTTAAACAGTCTAAATCAGGATTAAGTTACTCAGTGGGAGCATAAATCCAATGCTGCCCATCTCTACCCACACAGAATAAACTGAGGCTAAAAGCAATAAATCTACCAGTAAGGTACAGTAGAGAACCTCTGAGTGCAGTAGCAGCTTGATACATTTAAATACCACCTGCATCAGGATTATGGTCCATAATGGGAACTCTAATTACAGGCAGGAAGGGCTTATGGAAAGGAGTTAATAAATCATTTCCATGGAGAGGCTGCACAACTATAAAAAATTAGGGTATCTCTACAAGCGGAAAAACCTGGCAGAATAATCTAACTAAAAATTACTGTACCTGTAGGCAACTTTTCAGTAAAAATTTGAATAATGAAAAATTTAAGACAAAATTTAAAATGTTTTGATTTGGAAATAGAGTCATTGTTTCTTATCCTCTTCTGCTGGCTGAGGTTTTTGTTCAGACTCGGTCTCACCTCATATATCCCTGCCTGTAACCATGGGTTTAGCACCAGAGGACCTGAAGAGCATAGTACAATTTTGGCACACGAGTTTTACTAGTGACCACAGCTCATTGGGCAGAGTGGCTTACGAGATACCGAAATTTCACAATTTCCAAGATCATTTGAATCTAATATCACAGTCCTATTGGATGTGGTGAGGAAAAGGGAAATCTTCCCAGATAAAGCAAATGCAACTTGTGGAGAAAAGAAAAAGGCTCATTTAAATTTCAACTTAGCACCAAATATAATTCTGGCAGCAACTTTTCAATCAGAGTTTTATTAATATACAGAAGAAGTTGTCACGGGAACTCTGCATTTATCAAAAAAGCTAACAGTTTAGAGTCTCTGCAGATAGAGGTGGATCAGCAGGGGCAAAATCAATATGATACTTTAGAATGAGAAAACTATTTTTTGTGCAATCTTTTGATTACAGTCACTTGCTTAATATCCCAGACTAGAGAGGGTGATGGTCTCCTCATGATTTGGACAGCTGCAAGACAGCAACCATCACTCAAGGTCCCTGTCTAGCTCCAAAACCTGCAGCCTTTCAAAGTCGTCACCCCTAATGTGCAAGGGGAAGATAAGGGTCAGAGTGAGCTGTTTGATGGCTTAAATGTTTTCTTTTCTAGCTTGTCCTGGAGGAGCTGCATCACCATGCAACAGGAGAGGTCACTGCTCCCAGGGCATAAACGGGGATGGAACATGCACTTGTCAGGTAGGTCCTTTCTTTCAAATGAAAAACAAAACTATAACTATACATAGTTATACACATGCTTTATACATATACAAAAACACTATAAAAGCTCTGCTAAGAAATGGCATGTACTATATTGTACAAATACAGTAAAGGAAAGTATTTCATAAATAACAGAGATAATCTGTTTGGAGTACATTTTTTCACTTGATTCACATTAATCTTCACATTATTATTTCTACAGACTAGAACACGTTTGGGTGAAATTATATAAGCTCTTGCATCTTGCCTTCCTGAAACAGGCATCTTGAGTTCCTCTTTTAGAGTATGCTGTACCATATGAATTTTTGCCCTAATTAGAAAGTATTTATACTTGGGACTATACTCTCAACACAGTGTTCCTTTGCTGGGAGTACAAAGTGTAGTGCTTAATAACTTCAGCCAAAAAGGTTTTAAAAATAAATAGATAGATAGATAGATAGATAGATAGATAGATAGATAGATAAATACAGTCAGGTTCCTCTTTTCTACCTTCCCCTCTGCTGGTTAATTTTTGTATTACATCAAAACCACTTCTAGGAACATGCAAAAAAAAAAGACAGCAAGAAGTAGTCAGAAAATACAACCTAACAATTGTAAGAATGATTTGGGCCTTGGGCTTGATTACTGTACTTTATTGTTAACTTGATATTCAAAATATCTGAAGTGTAAGATCTAAAAATTATTTTTAAAAAAGGCAAAGAGAGGGGAGAAAGTTATTAAAAAGACAATGTTTGTTAGATTGCAGTAGTCATTTCTGATTTGCTGATTGCATTTTTCATGTTATTTTCTTTTGGCAGCTAAAGATGCTATTTTCAGGCTGCTAAGTATATATCTATCTGTATAGAGATAGATGAGAAATTAAGTTTTGATTTCCATTCTGTAATTCACAGAAAGGGTTTGGTGGGACAGCCTGTGAAAAATGTGCTGAAGATAATATATTTGGCCCTTACTGCACATCGGGTAAGTTTGAGCTTTCTTTGTTGAAGAGGAGAAAAGAAGGTGAGTGAAAGTTTTATTCAGATACTAAGTAATCACAGTGAAATGGTAGAGGGCCTAAGTGTTTCCCATCAGGAGCTGCTGTCTGCTTCAGGGAGCACAGCAGGGAAAGAAAAAAGACAGCTGCTCAATTCCATACTCACAGTGAGGCTGGACAGAAAACAGGCAGCTGCTCAGTTCCTTATTCACAGTGAGGCTGGATTCAACTCAGGACTCTATGGGCAACACTCTCAGCATAGTGCTACAAAAATACCTTCACCTAGTCTTGGATATCTTTGTTCTAGCCAACAGTCAAATAAATTAGGGATTAGGATCATTAGTGTGTTCCTGCAGGTATGCCGCCCTGTTAGACAATTACTGTTTATCCACTTTTCACTCCAAGCTGTAGATTTGCATTTATTTGATCTAAATACAGGAGGCTGTTATGGTACTCAAAATATTGGATGGGAACATGAGAAGTGCATAATTTATAGTCGCTTACAGTGTTTTGGTATGGTTTTCAAATACATCTACAAACTGGACCATGAAATACTCATGTGGTATTTAAATCAGTATATCTCACCCCAAGAAAAAGCCATTTTGAATCAAGCCAAAAGTCCTTTTAGCCTAGAATCCCATATTGGAAACAACTAGTTGATATCTAGGGAAAAAGTAGAAGCAAGCAGAGATTGCATTCAAATTGTAGTGTTCGAAGGCTCCTCCTGAATCTATGCTCCACAAACTATCTACCTTGTTTCTGAGCCAAAATTGCTTTTGCTCTCCACAGTATTTTGTGTCAGGGAGATCCATAATTCAGTCAAAAGTGTGAAAAAGCATGGGTTTGGTTTAAGTTTTGGGTTTGCACTGGTAGAAAATTTCATTGGTTGGCCATACTTGTATTAGCAGAAGTGGGACATTGAGAGAAGGATCAGAACTATGTTCACTATTTAAAATGTATACACATATCACAAGTGTATATATTTGTATAAGATTTTCCAGTTTTGCCTGCTTCTTACTGATTTCTACTATTTTGTTTACCTTCCTGACCCCTACTGAGCATTAAACCAACAAACCAGAAAACTGCACGAAAAAAAAAGTATTAAAAACCATCTCTTTCTTAAAGTGGTAACAGTTTACCTCAAAGTAAAACTGTTTGGGTTCCCTCAATCTACATAATGTTACATCTAAAAGGAGTCACAAATGTTCTTAATTTAAATAACCTGTGTTGGCCTTTCTACACTAATCCTACACCATTGCTCAGTCAAAGGCCCTTTTTCCACCAGCTGTCCACTGGATGCCAGTATTGGTACACAGAAACATAATTCAGCCAACATTTTCATGAAAATAGGGTACTTGAATGAATTTAATATTGTAAATGTAATTATTTTCCAAGAAGCTACCAGAGGACTCAACTGCATATTAATTTAAGCAATGTTTTACACTTCAGCTTTCAGATATTTGAGCTCCTCCAAGTTTTCTAAGCACATATAAATATTGTGCGTTTGTAACTAACAGCTTTTCAGCAATGCCTTGGACATTGATGTGTTTTATACTAAGACTACTAACATATGTAGAATGTTACTAATTAATTAGTGTAGGTGATTTGCATGAACACAGGAAATGTTTGTAAAGGGTGGAAAATACACTACATCACTGCAGCTTACACACAGAGTCAGCAATACAACTCTGTACATCTTAGATGCTTTTCCAAATGTAACTGTAAAGGACCTTTTCAAAAAGCATCAGTACCATAAGTGAAACAATTATGACAATAAAGCTTTTGAAGTGTGCTTAAGGATTCAAAAAACACTTATAAAAAGGACTCATAGTTGCCCGGACTCTGAATGTGGCATCTTGTGTTCATAAGGTCACAAGGTTTATGACTAGAAAGGCCAGAGTATAGGAACAGGACCAGAAAAAAAAATGAGACCTACACAGTGATTAATTAGCCTTTTAACTAAATACATTCTGTGTAGGGAGAGAAAAATGTCAACAAATTAATCTCTTCTGGGGGTGTTTGAAAGAGACAAACAGGATTTTTTTTAAAAGAGCAATTTGTTAACATTTATAAAAATAGCCGGTGTTACACACTATATTCAATTTGGGCTCAAGCCTGTATGTCAAATCTTATGAGTTTTATCATATTAGCAACCAGTCAGTTTGGTGTTTATAGTGTGCATCCTGAAGATTTTCAAGCCCCAGGCTATCAGCAGCCTGCAAAGATCAGTATGTTATTTACTGATGTATGCAACTGTGAACATTGATCTTCTCATTATGGAAGCCTATAAATTCAGGAACTCAGGTCAAAGCTTGGTCTGGCCAAAGTTGTTGGCCAGGGCACTATTTGCTATGGATAACTACTAATGATGTCTTTCCACCCACCATTATTATTCAGTAAATCAAATCCATCTCTCCATATAGTTTGTGACTGTGTTCATGGAGTATGCAACAGTGGAATTACAGGGGATGGAAGATGCACTTGCTTGTCTGGCTATAAAGGGCTCAGGTGTGATCAGCGTAAGTATATTGTCTTCTGTATAAGATATATTCAACAGCTCTAATACAGTTCAAATTGGTAAGGACAAATGTAAAACTAGTCTCGGGTTAGTCACTCTAGAGCAACCAAATGTACACTGAACCTCAAACCCTACGCGTGAGCTTCCATAACCATCATCACCACTTCAGTTGCCAGGAAAATGGTGACAGCAATGGGATAGATGGCCCCTAGATCAGGCGTACTTTGAACTAGTATAGTGCAGAAGACAATGCCTCCTGGCACAACGTGCAGACACAGTTTAACCTGTTGCTCTCTGTCCCTCAGCGATAGCAGAATGCGAGGCCTTGCGGTGCCCTGCAAACTCCAGATGTGCTGCCTCAGGCAAGGATGGAAGGCAACTGCAATGCAAGTGCCTTCCTAGCTACCATGGGGATGGTACACAGTGTGAACGTGAGTAATTTTCATGTCCACCAAATTCTTTGTATACATCAACAATAGTATCATAGTTCAGATATTGAGTGTGCTTCTGAACCAGACCTCACCATCTAACCGTTCTTTGGTTCATATCCCAAAGTCTTATGTGCACAAACTAGATTCTTTCAGTATGAAACTAAACCCTAAAATGTGCTTCAGAAGCATGTTAGTCCAATGGTTAATAAGCTTCAGTCCATGCAACCAGAATACAGCTAGTAAACCCCCTTAAAATACACAGTGTGGATACTGGATCATCAGTGCTTACAAATCCACTTCTATCATATCCCTCTTCTTGCTGAAGTTCAGCCTCATAGTTTCCTTCCATAAAAATCAACAACAGCAACCACAGGCTTATATTTTTCGAATATCCATCATGTGGTGGCTCAGCGTCATCACTAAGCATAAACACTACAGACAAGTAAAACTCATTTTAGCTTTCCTATTTTTCATTAAAAAGAGCTAAAAATATCCCAGCTAGAGGTAAAAATCTACCTTAAAGTTATCTCTAGAGAATCCTCAACTTGCCATTGAATGCTTAAATGAATTGTCTTATAAGAGTCCAGATTTTCTTTCCTCTCCTTACACTGCATCTTACAGCATCAGCTCTTCCTTCTAGACCAATTACAATGAAGAAAATGGCTGTATCTGATGCTGGAAGCACTGTTTAGTAAATGTTGGCTTGGATCAGGCCACAAATGCAATACTTCTTTCCTGTCCAGGAATATTTATATTCCATCCTCTTGGTCCTAACTATGGTGTCATCTGCACTGAATAGGCTTAAACATCATCCAAGAGGAAGACACTCCACAGGGAATGTGAGGTTCTTCTAGAAGGCAGCACAGACAAGCAAGACATAAAGAAATTGCAGCAACCAGCAGAGGAGGAGGGTGCTAGTATCCCTTCCTCTCAGGGTTTATACTGATGCAGCCTGCATGAATATTGCAGGCTTCCCAGTGCATTCTGTCCCAGTGCGTTTAGATACTAGGGTCATCTGTGGCTTAAGCTAACATCTTCTATATTTGACTGGCTGGGAAGCACAGATGAAGTAGCTCCAGCACAACTAAGTATGTAAGCGAGGATAGCAGTGGCTGTCCTACACTCAGCTTGGAGTGGCACTGTTTATTGTTGATTTGATGATATGAATACGTGTGTGTGCATGATTTCACACTGGAACAGAAGAGAAGGCTTGAAAGAGCAAAGAGGTGGCAAAAATTGCCACCTCTCTCAGTCCCAGCTGAGGAGGAAGAAAGGAAGAAAGAGAGGGGAAGACAGGTGAGTCTGGGGCCTTCCACCTCTTAGCTACAATGTGTGCTTGACCATATCCTAAGCTGGACATAAAGGTGTGAGGAGATGCTCTTCAAGCACTGATGGATTTTGAACAAGAATAAAAAATATCATTGCCTAAAAAAACAAAAAAAAAAACCTATGGAAATAACTAGTGAGCTTCCAGTTCAGTCCCGAAACTACAGCAATGTGGAAGACTCAGCTGAAGTGCTTGCTGGCCAGTTTCCTACATAGTTGAATGGATGACATTATATTGTTTCATTACAGGAAAGAAAACAGCAAAGGCCTATTGTATTAAGAAATATTTTCTAACTGATCTAACACAAGCTTAAATCTTGTACAGATCTTGCATTGCCTACCTGACCTTCTCTAGTTAAAATCCACCAGAAAACAAGGAAATAGTTGTGATATTATAATGAGGACATTACATGCTTTAATCTGTTTATAACTCAATTTGCGAAGTTAAGACTTCATTTCTGTTCAAAAGCAAACAGTTGGTTGCTATGTTAGTATAAACACATTCCTCCCTCCTGTCTTGATGCCTCCACAATACTTTAGGTCTTGGTTGTTATGAGAAGCTTAGTCTACACGGTGTTTGTTTGGCATGAAGGTGCTCTGGCAAATCCTTGTCTTCTTTCAGAACTGTGGAGAATAAATCATTTACTTCTTTTTTCACAAGCTATCAACCCGTGCTTCAAAAAGGTCTGTGATCCTAATGCTGACTGCATTTACCTCGGACCAAATCAGCATAAATGCACCTGTCGAGAAGGCTACAGAGGGGACGGTCAGGTCTGCTTACCCATTGACCCTTGCCAAGCAACATATGGGAACTGCCCAATGGAGTCTACTGTTTGCATATATGATGGTCCAGGAAAGGTTAGTGCTGAATGGGCGCTGCATACATTTCCTATGTCAATTGCTTAGGAAGTGTTCTGTCCCGGTTAGAAGGCAGAACTGTGTCCCACCTCCCTTATCCCTCAGTTTCCCAGGTAGAGAGGTAAATAAGGAAGGCAGGGGTAATGAAAACCTTGCACCAAATTGAAGATTAACAAAATGAAATATATTATTTAATAGGGATCAGAAAGGAAGAAGGGAAGGGGTTTAACAGGGTACAGAAAGGAAGAAGGGTAGGGGTTTAACAGGGAAGGGGGGTTGTAGGAACAACAAGGCAAGGAAGATTAAACTTCCAAATATACAAAACCCAAATGCTATGCTGAGGCTCCCCGGTGCTGGATCTCGCTGGATTGAGGTGGATTGAAGCTGGATGCACAATCCTTGGACGTGGATGGAGGCAGGGAAGAGTCTGTAGATCAGGCCCAGGTCTCCAAGATGGCCACGGCCACGTGTAGCACAGGGAGCAGCAGAGCAGCGTGTGCCCAGGTGCAAGGTCAAAGGAGCAAGAGGAAGAGAGAAGAAGAAGAGCGAGGTGCGTGCCTTCCTCGCCCCTTTTATAGACCTTGGCAGGAAGTCCCGAAGACAGGAAAAGGGGAGTGGGAATAGGACAGGTGTACGCCCCTTTCATTCAGGCTTGTACCTGGTTTAGGGTTTCAGATCTCCACCCACCAGGGGCAGCAGGTTTCAAACCATTACAGGAAGGAGTAATGCTTTCTCTCTGAAAAGAAGCCATGAGTTCTTCTTCCTAGAATATTTTGGCTCAGATTTGCCTCCCCAAAATGAAGACACTGAAATGAAGCTTCTCTCAGTTAAATTTTCTCTCTCTGACCACATGGGGCTTGTAGGACCAGTAGGATTCTTACACAGGTATCGCAGATAAATGCCTAAATCAACGTATTTAGGAAAGTAATCTGAGTCTTTGAGGACTACCAATGAAAGGTAACATATCAATGCTGCATGTTATTCATGCTGTAGGGAACTGGCTCAGTTCACACTGTGTGTGAAACTCCTACCACTCAGAAAGTGAGACTTCATAAGACCATGCCTGTTTTGTCTGGACAGCCTGAAGAGCTGAAAAAGGGGTCAGTCATCCAGGTCGTCCTGCAGTTCACGTTTATACAAGTGCTGATAAACCTCACTTGTTACTAATATGCCTTGGCACACATTTTTGGAGGCAGAGGACTGTGGGAACAGAGCTAAATAATTTGACCTACCCACACAGATTTCAAATGTTGTCTATTCACAGAAGTTAATCTAAAGGGCATTATCTGAACAAAATTTATCTGAGTCAGTAGTTTTCTGGAGCGGATAAAACCTAGAAGAGAGTTGTATAAATATGGATAAGCTTTATGCTTGAATTTGAATTCAACAGCTGACTAAGGCTTTGGAAGCTCACTGTCTATAGAACTTAGTTCCAGAAAGTATACTGAAATCCAAAATTTGTGCTTGTCTAATTTTTCCTCTCCCCTCTCCTATCCTTCTGATTTAGTCTCACTGTGAATGCAAAGAGCATTACACAAACTTTGTACCTGAGAAAGGATGCAGTATGATGGACATCTGTGAAACAAATAATACCTGCCATAAAAATGCTAAATGCTCAATGGTTGCACCAGGACAGATTGCGTAAGTCTTTTTGCTTGTTAAAGCTTTCATCCACTTTTTCCTTCCTTCCCCTAGTAAATAGGCTGCTAAAACAAATCCAGTGGGTGAACATGTCCTCAAGTAAGCATTAATGGTTTCTTTATCAAGGACAAGTTACAAGATTTAATGGAGTTCGGGTCAAGCTATTAGCATAGTGTTTGGTCTCATCAGTCCAGTTGCTAATACCCAGTAAGTTTTATTTTTATAGCACTCAAAGGTCATTCCTATACCAGTAAATAAAAGAGACTAAACCCTCTTTTCTGCTTCTCAGGACAAGCAGCATGGACTGGCTCACAGCTAAAGCATATTCTTCTTCCAAAACAGAGTAACTTCCTCTTGGCAGTGGTCCCTGGCACACGCTATCCCTTCAGCTGTGCCTGGGCACTGCCTGGGAAAATGCTACTTGGTGTGGGCCAGAAACATGCCAGGCAGCATGCTAAAAATTAATCAGCATTTACTATTGTGGGACAGCACTGGATCCCTGACTCTTTTTAGTATACTAATACTAGGGAATCCGATCCCCATGCTGTGAAAGCAACACCAAGCTCAGCAGATTCCTCAAAGCCTTGAGACAATCACATGGGAAATGGCAGAAACTCTGGCAGAGTTTGTTTTCCTGTACAGAAATTTGCTAAACAGATGTCAGAAGGACAGTCAGTTTTAACACTGAACAAAGCTATCTTATTAGCTGTAGTTAGGAACAAATTATTTATCCTATAGGTCTATATAGACAGAAACTATTCACTCAGGAGAGTATTCTTAATTGCCAGTTCTTGCTTCGTCACGCAGCTCTCACTTACAGTGTAATATCAGCGTTGCTTTTGTGCATTTCAAACAAGTTTATCTAGAATATCCCCTAGTTCATTTCTACAGTGTACAATACTGCTCAAACTGCCCTTAGTATATATTTATACTATAGTTAGTATAGTATACTATCATACTGCACAAGAGTTGAAAATTAGAATAAAATTCCACATTACACAAATCAGGATCTTTCTTTCCTAATTTGTCACTGTTTCACTGTTGCAACTCAATTGTCAAGCTGAAAAAGCTTTGAGGATTCGAGAATGGGAAAATTAAAAATTTAGGAGAGGAAGGGAGGGTGTGTTAAAGCAGCTTAAGTACTTTGCACAGCACTCATTCAGTGACCTTCAATGGCAAAAGCAAATACAGAAGACAGACATTGGATTCAAATCAAACCAAAACTATCTATTTAGCAAAAAAATTGAAACTATACTGAATAGTTTCCAACAAAGAAAAGTTCATTTACGGAAGAGGAACTTTGCAAATAAAAACATTGATTGGTAAATCTGGGCACAGCAAATTGTTCCTCATAAGTGACTGTGACACACACAATTTTGGCTGCATCCCAGATTTTAAATGTATTTGGGAGGGACTGTTTTGGTGGGGTTTTTTTACTTCTGCTAAAACAGAAAGCTGTAACAAAGGCCACAAACCTGCATTGCTTCCTTTTGTTTGTTTTTAGCTTTGCTTTTATTAAAGATGCAGTTGTGCTGTTGGCTTCCCCCATATAGAGTCACTTTTACTTTCTTCAGTATCAAATGATAGGTGCAGGTATAAATCTCTTATACAAAGATGTAGGGGGGGAAAAAAATAGTTTGTAAACATAACAACACACTGGGAAATCGAGATTGTCTGTTTTCTGTTCCCATGTAGATAGTTCCTGAGGGACTGCTGACACTTTCTATAGCTTTGCTTCAGCACAGTAACTATGTTCATTCTTGCCTAGAAGCTACACAGCTTCAACTAGTGAAGAATTACGCTGGATATTAAACCATAACATCTCCATTTCCCAAGAACTGGCTTTCCTTCAGCTAAACTCAATCACTTGCTTCTTTGATCACATTCTTATTTTTACTCTGACTGTGCCTTCAACGTAAAAATTCGTAGCTTCATAAACCAAAATTCTACTATTTGAGTTTCAGATAAAATAGAGACAGAAAGCTGAGTTCCCCTTTTCCAGAAAGATACAATTCTCTTCCACCTCCTGAGTAAGCTAGAGTTATTACAGTTCTCATCTTTTTCGGTCTTGTCTATACAGCCCATGCAGCACACCATGAAAACAATAAACAACTAAGCTTAAATAGTCCAGCAGGTTTTGTTGTAAAGCTGCTCCTCTTTAGAGGCATCCAGTCTGTGAAGCACACAGTGCATTTGAAGCAAAACCTGTAAATCCATATACAGGATGAGTTCAAACTCAATCCCCCAGACAAAGCTAAGACAAAACTGATCACCCAGCTGGTCCTTCCCAAGCTGAGCCACAGAAAGTAAATTACTGTACCAAAGAGGTGAGGGAACAGATGGGTAGAAAGATTTAATATCATGTAATAAGTGTTAATCTGTAATTGCTAAATACTTTCTTTTGCATTTAAATCCACACTGTGTTACTGGATATCCACAAAGTCAAAAGCAGTATCACCCTCAGAAAGCAAGTTTCAAACTACACATGTATTTCTGCAGTTCACTGCACCCCTGGAAATGATAGCCAAATGAAATTACTATGCTTAACCACCTGCTTCCTTATGTCCATTTGCTGAGAAAGAGAGGAAAGGTTTCTTTTGAAACCTTGACCTAATTGGTATAATATTTCAAGGGTGGTTTCTTTCTTCTACTAAATATTCCTTGGCTCCTTTGACGCTTCAGTTTTTTTCTTCTCTGCTCAGAAGCAAAAGGGACTACGTATATTGATTGATACAGCAGTATTTACCCCACCAGAAGAAAGTGATCAGCTCCCAAGGAGCAGATGCTCCTTTCTCCCAGCCCTAAAGCCTTCCTCTGGGCTCCACAGTCATACACTCTGCAGAAGAGATCCCCTTAAAATGAAGATGGCTCACCAACAGAATAACATCCTAAAAATTTAAGCTGCTTTTAGACAGCTATTTTTACTCAGGACCAGAAGGATTCAAAGCTTGAAACTCTTCTGGTCAAAATCCCAGCACCCTTATGAGTCTATACACAGCCCCCTAGACTGCAGGGACTGTGAGGATTTTTCAAATACTATTGCCATCACCAGAGGAACAGCTACAGTAGAGACCATATGTGGGAAAGAGATGATTTGACATCAGGTTGATACTACTGTGGGGTGTGAGTGGCGAATGTGTATTTGTAACAGCCAGCAAGTGATTAAGTCATTAGTTATATAAGGAACATCTTTTGCTTGCGTGGAGTAATGTTCCTTCTCTAATGATGTCTTTAGACAAAATGTCCAGAGAGATGAATCATTATGGACAGAGTTTATACAAATAGTGAACATCCTGGAGACTTAATTAGGAAAGACACTATTAACAGCCAGTGTTTGACAACATGTACCATACAGTTGTTTAGCCTCCTAAATATAGTTAGCTTTTCTTTCTCTGTGGAAAAGTGCCTGCTTTAATTTTAGCACTGAAGATGAGTCAGGGACTGATCTGACACCTCCAGCCACTCTCCCAGGAACAGCTAAGCGGGGTCCGATTTTCTGAAGACTGCAACAGAAAGAGCTGAGATTGGCAAAAACGTCAGGCTTTGGTGGCCACTCAAATTGATACAGTCTTAAAGAGTCCAGATATTTTAGAAAGTACTACCCACTTCTCCCAGTGAATAGTCAGGCTGACACAAGCTCAAGGCACACTCAAGTCCTAGCTGCTCTTTGAAACTCACAACCATTTGTACCTCTCAGCACCTAATAGTAAGCACGTATCAATCACACTGACAACCAATATTTTTTTCCCCACCTCTCTTGTGATGCTGAGATCTTTCATAACCATAAGATTTAGTTTTCACCATAGGATGGAAAATGTCAGACTGACACTTGTCCTCCCATAAATTTCCTTTAGATTTTGCCCGGGCTGCAGTGCACTAGTTCAAATGCAGCCAGTCCCAAGGCAGTGAGGACACTGAGTCCATCTCAAGGCATTACCTGTCACTCTCATAGGCACCACAACTTGAGTCTGCTTTGGACACATGTAGGACTGAGTCGACCATACATCTCTGACACCTCTCACAGGCTGGAGTCCCCAGGGGACAGCAAGGGCATTCCAGATGAGTTGCTATTTCCAGTGTAGAGAAAGCAGGAGCATAAAGCATATATCTGAAAAAGTGTGAGAACTTGTGTTCCAGTAACTTTTGGGAAAAAAAAAAACATGCTAAAGTACGAGTGCCATTGCCACAAATAGTCACATCACTTAGAGGGCAGGGTAACAAAAAAAGACTTTGCTTTGTTGAAAGGACTGACACCCCCGCCTGCCTTTTCCTACCAGTTCTGTACAGCTATTGCAAGGATTCATGAGTTGCCATCACTCCCTTCACACCTAACTACCATTAATCCTACTGAGCCCCACATAGTAAGTGGGAGGTTCATAGAACTGCCTCCCTGCCACAGGGATGACACCCCACACATTTATGCTGTAGCCTCTCCTTGCCCACAGGCAGGCAGGTTCAGTGGCTTTCTGTGCTTCAGCAAATGCAACATTTGGGGTCCAGGGGCTGCACCACAGCCAGGGGTGCCACACAGGTCCCATTCAAAGCATCCTCCTGGCCTGGCTGGGAGAAGGACATCATGTCAAACAGCCACCAGGCTGCCCTACGCACGGACATACTTCACAGCATACAGAAGCAAAGGTTGGTCTAAAATACACTGGCGTTTCCTATGAATGCCTTCAGAGAAGCAGTTAAGTAGCCCTGGAGCATGTTTAGCTAGAGGCTCACTGCCATTGCAAGGCATCAGTCCACAGCTAAAATGATGATCCCTTCACAGGTGTACGTGTCAAGGGGGCTCCGTGGGGAACGGGTTTGTGTGCTACAGAAACATCATGGAGCGACTCCGAGACCTGAATGCTGAAGTGGGAGGACAGTGGCAAGACAAGCTGACATCTGCCTTATTGCTCATGGGTAAGTGACCACATGCAAGCAGATTCAGATCCTGCTGGATGGGCTGATCTTGCCCTGTCTTTCCCCAATGCTCCCTGCTGCAGGGAGGTGCCACTAACAGTCTGACACAGCACACATACTACCCACCACAGACTCCCTCTGACCACCTAAAGATGCCTTTGCTCACCATGTCAATAGTCTGCAAGAATTTTCAAGCAAAAGTGCTAAACATGTTCCCACAAAACCCTGACACATCGTTCGGTATCACAAGTGGGGTTTGCCCCATAGGGGGATAAGTGGGATCATCCCACTTCTTCTCCCTCCCTGTCCCAATTGATTTGGATCATTGAGATTTGATCTAGAATGATGCATAGAATTGCACCAAAACCATCAGGATTCCCAGATATGTTCCTCTTTCCAGTCCCCAGATGGGGAATAGTCCACACTGTTTTGTAAGACAGCATATTAATTTTGAGGTGTATTCTCTGATATGAAAAAACCTATAATGACTGTAAAAAGAGTTTTAGTTCTGATTTTAAAACTCTGGGAAAAAAAGCTGAATATTAGAAATCTTTCATGCCTTCAGCTACAGAATCAGTGGTCTCGTATCGCTGTCTCGGAATGAGAAATACCATCTGTGTAACAAATGAACTTTAATTAACTTTCAGTGCATCAGCTTTTATTACAAGCTATGTGTTTGCTGATATTTGCACTACCAGCAGGTTATCAGCATTACAACCCTCACCCCATGAAGACTGAATTGATTTAAAGCAGTAGGCCACCCTTCTGTAAAGACACATCTCCAAAGAAACATTATTTTCATGTCCATCACCCTGGTCTGCATGCCATAGAATCCAGGGTTCCAGAAGCATTTTGAATGTTTTGTGTCTCATCCTGTGTCAAATATACAGCAGCCCCTGGGTTTGACACCACATCTGCCTCTCATCTTTCAACAACTTGGACCTTAGAATCTTAGATTAACATTTAATAATCACAGATAGTGTTCTTTCTTATTCTGATTGCACAGTCACTTCCTCCAATGAGCTTTTTAATACACATTTAAAACTTTTTTTTTTTCTCTCCTTTTAAGAAAATGTCTATGAATGGCCATTGAGTACCCTGGGACCATTTACTGTGCTCGTACCGACAAACAAGGGGCTCAAAGGTATAAAAGTAAGTAAACAAGAGAATTGGGATTTAGGTCCTTCAGAAACCTTATCTGTGTTAAAAGTGTTTTGATGCAACAGATTCAGAAGTACAATTCTGGATACATTTAAAACTAGAGGAGAGAGATTATCTTCATGTCCTCTAAAGAAAACCAAAATAATTTGGTGAGTCACAGTAGAATACAGTCACACTTCAAGTAAATTTTGGATTGTCTTATATGGCTATGCTCAGGCTGTTTTCATTTGGTCGAGACAGGGTCTGAATTAAGATCTGAATTTTCAGCAGGGAGGCCTATAGGTCACATTTCATGTAAGGGTGATAAAAAAAAAAAAAGTCTTTCGTTTTAAAAAAAAAAAAAAAAAAAAAAGAAGAAGAAAACAACACAGAACAAAAAAGTGGCCTGATACACAAGCAGTCAGCATCCAGTACCTTCCTCTGAAGTCAGGGCAACCCTGGAGCACCTACTGCTCACCCATAAGACATAAGAGTGTGATCTAACCTGAATTGAAACCAAAGGAGGCCTCCATTAGGTTCAGACCTATCACCTCACTTCAGAATAAAACTTATCTTTTCAGAATGTAACAGCCAGAGGAAAAAAACATTCACCATGGGATTATTTTTAGGTGAAGCCTGCATTGAACTATATCTCTGTTCTTCTGCTCTTCTAGATAAAGGATCTTCTGGATAATAAACAGAAAGCACAGTACTTTGTGAAACTCCACGTAATTGCTGGTCAGCTGAATACCAGTAGCTTGAATAACACTAACGTAATATATACTCTGACTGGCAAGTCAGGAGAGATATCAAAGGGAGAAAAGGTAAGCGGCCTCCCAGCCTACCTCATCAAGAATAGGGCCCTCTGTCCAATCGATGAGGAGTGTGAAAGGTGTTTCTGCAGCAAGATGTCAGGTTGTGGATAGCTGCTGGATTATGAAAAACCACAGCAGAGGCCATGTATTACAAGTTCAAGTGAAAGCTGAAACATCACCAGCATCAAAGTCCCCACTAAAATCAGCAAAAATAAAAATTACCTTTCAGATGCATCCCCACTGAGTGACACAGTGGTCTAACGCAGACCACTGTAAAACATTTTCTAAAATTAAGTCATCTTAAATCTGTAGACACAACCAAGAGAGCTGGGGGGTAGGGGGACATTAAGAGAGACTAGGTGAAGTAAGAAGGGGCATTAAGGAGTGAAAAACCCAAAGCTTATGCTGGAAACTTGTGTGTGCTACTCCCACAAAGCAAGCGTGCCTACTGCACTGCAGAACCCACCTCCCACTAAGCATCAGCATCCTTTGAATGATGCAGCAAATAGACGTCTTCAGCATAGATAAAATGGATGTGACAATTTATAATTAAAAATATAAATTTCATCGCTAACACAGCTTATTTGATGTCAAACATGAAGGCAGTCTGATCCCACAGTTTAAAAAAAAATTTGTTCTCCAGAGCTGATATACTTGATTTTATAATCTCAAATTATTGTTCTTGGGCCATTAAATATCTTTTAATGACTTAGGCCTACATGAAAATCAAGCACTTGTCATGCATTGTAGTGGATCAGTGGTACCTGAGAAGAGTACTATGTTACTACTTTGATGAGTATGCATTCGATTTGTAACAGGAAAATATCATTGCTAGCTGAGGCTTGTTAGTTTCCTCCCAGCTTCAGTACAGTGCAGAATCAGCAATATTTTGTTATGTTAAATATACATATAATATAAGGAAATGGGATGTATTCTGTTAAGATTACAGGAGTTGACCTTTCCAGTACAACCACATTTTAAACTATTTCCTGTCAGACTTTCATTACTAGCAGTCATCAGAGCCCTTTTAAGGTACACCACTCTTTTCCCAGATCTGTCCTGGAACGAAATAACATGGTCCTGACCCAACGTCAAAGGAATTTTTTCCATTTCCTTGACAAGCATTGGAAGCAAACTTTAGCCTCCACAGATTTAAACAACTAGGTGTTGGCAGTGGAAGGGGGTGTTGATTTTAAGCAACATGCATACTCACTCTGTTGTCATTCCATAATAATGGCAGGGCTTACTATTGCCTGGCTTCTTTCAGGATAATCAATTAAGAATTAGAATCCAAGGAGGAAGGAGGAAAGGAAAACTTTTGCAGGGAAATATTATTGCTTCCAATGGGATTTTGCACATTATTGACAAAGCCATGGACAACGTGGAGCCAACATTTGAAAGCAACAAAGAGGTGAGCTGTAAGCTATGCACATGTGATGTCAGACTTTCTTTTAAAATAGTTTCACATTCATTGAATGCAAAGGAGGACGACTGACAGCAGCTAGACAAACTCTACTGAGCTACTGTGCATCAATTCAGAAAAGCAACATTCAAAGTGAAAGGTAATGACACAGTTTCTGTAGCAAACAGACATCCTCTCTTCTGCCAGCTTGGTCCAGGGACAATTTGGTTGTACTCACTGCATTTGAGTGTTTCCTTGGGAAACTGACAGTCACAATCAGTGTACCTCACTGAATTCCAGAACAACATACTAAAAGGAGGTACAACTGAACAGGTATCTAGCAAGACTTGTATTCAAAAGAATAATCCCTTCCCACAAAAGGCTAATATCACAAAAAGTGATAATTTGGGGTGCCTTGGGGGTTTTCGTGCCCTGATTAGTGTACTTCCTTGAGAGTTCACTTCTTTATATGGGAGTTTTTCCAACATTTTACTTCTCTGCCCTTTATCATTGGGAATGAAGAGATAAGAACACCTTCCCCATACACACACTATTTGTATGTTCTGTGACTACACGATATTTCAGGACAATGACAAAAGCTAACTACAAGCCAGTATAGCACTAGCACAAGAGAGCTACCATCTCAGCCTGTTCCAGACACCATCAGCCACCCAAAAAATAAGGCAACACAAATGTATATATTCTAATAACTGAGACTCAAACAGTAATTAAAAAAATGTCTTAGAAAAGTTGATATTTATTCCATGTTCCGAACTAAAATAAATCTTGCTTTTATCTTATTTCAGGAAACCATAATGTCAGTACTTCAAGATAATGGAAAATACAGCAACTTCACATCTTTGATAGAGGTAAGGATTCAGAAAAACAATTCCATAAAGCTATTTTCAGATGTTCTTCAATATTTCTATGTAATTTCACTTTTCTTTTTAAACCAAAACAGAAAACTGGCCTGGGAGTGGACTTACAGCAGGAAAACAGGCCTTACACAATCTTTGTTCCGAGTAATGAGGCTTTCAGCAATATGAAAGCTGAGGCTATGGATTACCTGCTTTCTGCAGAGGTATGGTCTTTATATAGCAAATTTTTCTTAGATAGTAGATATATAGGTATAGAATCACAGGTCTTTTCCAACCAAAATGATTCTCCAAGACCATCAACCTAACACTACCAAGTCCAGCACTAAACCAGGAGGTGAACACTGGCATCCAGCCCCCTGGATATCTCCTGCCTTTCCCAACACACAGGCAAATTGTGAAAGACCCATGTCAAGATACAAGGTGATATAGGGGTGAGGGCATGGAGTGGCAGGGTGTATGCCATGAGCTGAGCACCACCACTGACCCAGAGGTTTCTGGTGCACCAGCCAGTGGCACTGTTCTCATCTCCCTGTCCTCTCAACAGGCCAGGCTGGGTTTGTATTCTTCATTTTGGACTAAAACAGCCTCTTTTCTGGTTTGGTAGGGTTCATGGAAGTTGCTGGAGCTTGTCCGATACCACATTGTCTCCCATACTGAGGTGAGTGTGGCTGCTTTACTGACCTAGAGTATAAAAGCATTTTCAAATCCTTTGCCACTCCGAAAGCAGAGGTTTTCCAAGAACAACCTCCACTCAGTACTTAACAACAAGGCTGCAAAGGACAGCTATGTCTCTGCCTTTATTAAGGGTAGTTGCATAAAGTTCACTAACAGAGAACACAAACCTTTCACCTCAGTGTGACTAATCAAAATAAAACCCTGCTAGGAGGCATGGGCTGGTCCTTGAATCATGGCAAACTAAAACTGTATCATGTCACACTAATGTGTTACATTGAAGTAACTATTTCCACTTTAAAATACACCTTTTGGCAATGGGGACCTAGCCCAAGGTGGGGGAAGTGGGAGGGAGGAAGAGATAGATAGATAGATAGATAGATAGTCCACCTGATCCTGATGCCTACTACCTTAGCCTTCTGTGGAGCAAGAACCAGTGTCAGGGGGTACTGTCAGCTTGGCAGAGCTGCAGGATGAGTACAAGGAAAAGTACTTGCTATAGAAATGAAGTTTTTATGAGCCTGTTCTGCTGAGACTAGTCTTCTCTTTGTCAGAGAAAGGTGGTTTTTTTTAATTCTGTCAGTAAGTCCCCTGTTTTTCCCTCCTTTTTTTACTGGAAACAAAAAGCAGAACCCAGCAACACTACCAGCAACTAAGTCTAGAGGAGACTGAAGTTCATCCCCAAGGCAGCCCTTGCTGTGGGACAGGAAGGAAGTGCACATATTCTTAGCAAAAAGACTCACTTGCATTGTCCAAGGCAGAGGTCACTCCCCAGCACAGGCATGAGGTTCACATGTCCCTTCATGGGATGTCAGCACAACTGTTTCCATAGTGGTCTAAGGACACAAACAGAGCTATTTTTAGGGAGAGGTGATAATTGTACTTAGACTGGTTTCTATATTTAGGAGAAAAATTAATATTTTTCTGGGCAGTGAATTTTTCACATGCAGCAACCAGCAAGCTCAGTCAAAATTTAATCACTTTGTTGCACAAGCAGGTTAGCCAATGTGAGACTGCCCACATAGCTAATATGTTTGTTTGCTCATCCTAAAGAGAAAGGTGGTCTTTCTTGTGAAATCCATCTGGATTTGAAAAGAATAATGATATTACATTTCTTTCAATCAATTTATATTCATTTCAGCTGGAGGTTGCTAGCCTTGTCTCAATAGAGCACATCAGAAGCATGGCGAAGCAGTTCATTTACTTCAACAGGACCAGCACTGTAAGTCAAAAGCAGGTTTCACCTGTGAGCAGCTCTCTCTGATCTAGGCAACTGTTTGCATGCAGGGGCAACACAAAAAGGCAGGAAGGGGGACATTAGCAGACAAATTTCTTGCTATAATGAGCCAGACATTTTCAATTTGCCATTCCTTCATACTAGTAGAAATTGGTATTATAAAGGATGCAGAGTAAATGACTGGTACATAAGGACAGCTTGCAGTTTCTTTTTTCTTATGATTAGCTCAAATCCAGGAATGATCCTCATTTATGCTCTGCCTAGTTTAAAAAACTAAAAAATCTATTTTAAACCATTTTGTTACCTATTTTGGTTATTTGAAACACATCTCAGTGCACACATGGATATCCTTTCATTCTCTTTAATACTATAGTCTCTAATTGTGATGAACCTAGTGAACACTTTTTTAAAGGTCCTAATCTGTCAGTACATTTGCTAAGCCAAGTTTATCCAATACGTTGAACTCTCTTCTGCTCTTTGCATATTTTAGCCAAATATGTACATTCTAGAGAAGAGATGCATCTATGAAAATTCTTATAAAGGCATAGTATTTGCTTACATAGATGTAGAAAGAATACCTTTTTTTTAATTCTGTGAATTTAGGTAGACCACAGATTCTTTCACTTTTTCCCTCCTTTGTCAGAGAGAGGACCCAAGCATGCTTATGCCCAATGAAATCAGTGCCTGAATTCATCAATAGTCCTCCCATTTTGGCCAGTCTTTCAGTCACCAGTTCCATAGCCTAATAGTGCAGATTAAGAGGAAAACACTAGATATCGCTGTTGTACACCGATATTCAAAAAAATATGTAACATATGCATGTTTCTTGCCTAAAACAAACATAATAAAAAATAGATAGCAAATTAAAAAGAAGTATGACTAGAAACTCTTGAGATTAAATTATGAGAAATTGAGAAGATATGAAAATTTTATTATTAATAATGATTTGTTTCATAGGGACAAGTCTTGGTGAGTGGAGAAGAAGTGGAAGAAACAGATATTGTTGCAAAAAATGGTCGCATTTATACTCTTGCAGGGGTTCTTATCCCAGCCACAATTGTTCCAGTTCTACCACATCGGTGTGATGAGACAAAAAGACAATTCACAATGGTAAGAGAATCACAAAAAAAATCAATAGCTCCTAGCTGCTCCATACAAGCATTCTAGCTTCTTCTTTGCTACTATCTCTAATATTGTTGGTGGGAAAAAAAAAAAAAAAAAAAAAAAAAAAAAAAGAGGAGGTATTTTGGGAAATTAATATATCAATGACATACAGCCACCTGGCTAACAGTACTCCACAGATAAAAATATTTTATGAAAAGGGAATTCATATGAGCATGTCCTATACCACTTTAATGCATCTAGTTCCTGAAGTAGCCCTTTTACATATGCTGTTTACCCAGTCATACTTCTTCCTCCAGTTCCTGAATCCCATCTGCGCACACAAGTACATGATAAGCAGTGTCATGTTCCTAGGGGACCCACTGCAGATCAGTATTTTTATTTCTACTAAGCATGCAAGCAAAAGAGCAACCAAGTTAAAATGTTAACATAATAGTTAATTATATATTACTATATCTGAAATGCTATTTTCAGAAGCCACAGTTTCCCTTAGCCCTGCTTTGTTCCATTTTTCTTCAAAATAAGAATTACAAAACTGTTTCATATTTCAAATGGTGGATTTCAACCTCCTTTGGTCAGTTTGGTGGCACAGTACAGGCCTTTACACTCTGTAACATTCAGATACTATTTCTGGTAAGAAGCCCAAGTATCATATTGAGCTTTCAGTTTGCAGCAAGCGTGGCTCCAGTGAGCTGTTACTGGATCATGTTCAAGCACACAGCTGGGCCAGTAATTGTTTCGGTACACTAATGCAAAATATTTACTATCTTAATTTACAACAATCCAGAACCACAACCTCGAAAGAGATTCCCAGCAGAGCTGGACAGCATCAAAATTTAATGGAGAAAACACAAAGGGCTGGCAGTAAAGCACTATTACCTCTGGCAGTAACTACAAAATTCCGCACATGCAATATAATCACAAACCAGGCAGAGTGCCGAGCCACGATCTCAAGTACAAAATACAATCAGCACCTTACCAATCCAAACTACACTCCAGTAATTTGAATTCCCTACCAGGAACCTACCTACAATCTGTCTGACTCCAGTCAATCCTAAAGCAACACTCTGAACAATTATTGAAAGACAAAACAAATAGCATCTGTCACAAGACTTATTCCCCAGACCGAAGTCAGGAACTTCTGTCAGCTTCGAAACCTTCATGTGTAGTTTACAACACAGTTAGACATACAAGGCTTTAAGCAGAGCACTGCTACCAAGGAGAATATCAGAAGGAGCAGTAGCTTTCCTGTTCTTACATGCATCTTCTTCACTCTTGGAAAACGAGAGCAACACCAGCTTGTAAATATTCCTCGTGGTACCAGTGAACAGTGACAAATTTCATGGGAACTGGCAGTTGTATACACCCAGAAGAACTATACAACCCTAAAGATGAAAACATGTACGGTTAACACACACATGTCCATGTAACCATACCCCAGCACTGGTAATAACCACAGCACTGGGTGTCTTGCTCCGCTTCCTCCCAGAAGTCATCACTTCCACAGCAGACTTAGCAGAAGGGAATACATGTCTATGCTTCAGGCACTTTGGTGCAAAGACTGTATCTTAATCTACTGTTGAAAATGGGCAGATTGGACTTTGTGTGGAAGTGCAGACACACTTCCCTGTCCCCCCACGGTGTGGCAGGGCAGAGAGACAGGACTCCCATCCTTAGGAAAAGGGAGCAGGTACATGTCAATGGCTGAGACCATCTCGGGAGGAGAAAGGGAGAAAACAGCTGACACTGAGCGGCACTGAGCAGCAAGGATGGAGAGCAACGCAGACAGTGAGAAATGCTTTCCATAGCAATTAGCCAGATTTTTAAGTTCTAAAGGAATGAACAAGCACTCATAGGGATTTTCTGAAATGCAAAGGAAGCTAAGACCCTATGTCAGCTTCAGCCATAACTACACATCTTATTAGAGAGCTTTTGTAATGTCCAAATGTACTTGCCAAAACACATCTGAACCACAGACCTTACTACATAGTAGTGGCATTGGTACTTCAACTATTTGATGCCCAAATCAAATACTTTGGCAAGTCTGGTCCCTCATTCCTTTGAGTGCTTTTGTAAGCCTTTAAGCATGAGGGGCTGCTACATTCAAACCAGTACCTGATTCTTTTCCTGCATTTCCAGTGATAAACCTGTGAGGAAAATGCTATAATTCATGTTCGTGGTCACTTGTCCACTTGTGAAACAGTGAAGTAACACATTGGATGCTGGCTCTAGGATTTATTCTAACTTGATTAAAACACAAAACATTAGCAGTCACAAGTAACACAGATTTGACAAACTCCATATCCACAGACCCTAAGGCTCAGCCTCTCTGAAATTATTGCATGTTGAACCTGTCAGAGGACTCAGCTTTAAAACTGCTGCTGGAGTTTACAGCTCCTCAGTGCTGTAACTGCCAGTCTCTGTCACCACCACATGGTGATAAATAAGCTAGTAGGTAAAGGCAACCAAAAGATGAAGGCATAAAAATAGTTATAACACTGATGGATCATTGTTAGATCTACAACATGGAAGCAAAGAAATTTTTTCACTTCACTGTCTGTACACAAGGCAAAGGTCTACTCACACTGTCTATATGCAAGATGAAACTAATTTATGGACTTCCTTGGAAGAAACAAAAAAATTCTCATAGAAGTTAAGTGTGCAGACTGCACTAGACCCTCAGACAATACTAGTTACTATACTATATATAATATATAATATAATATAATATATA